CTCTTATCTCGATTAGATAAGTTCCACATTTTGGTTCCCTTTTCCTTTATCACTAATCAGATAAGTTCTACGAGTTTACTTCGAGTCTCTCTCCTAGTATCTCTGGATAGATAAGCTGAACTGGTTAAGCTATGTTTGCAGGCATATGGAGGACTTGTATCTCTCCATATTTCTTTCCTCTGTAACATGTTTCTTTTACTTATATATATACATATTCCAGAGGAGTTTCAGTGTCTGCTAATTCCCGCCTATTTAGGCCTATAAATCTGAATTTTGAGCAGCTCTATGCTCAATTCACAATTTCAACTGCGCCGTCAGCCTCTTTCTTATCTGTGCAAAACATTTCGAATGTTTGTGTTTCGCTCGGTGTGAGTGAGTGTGTGCGTATGTGTGAGTGTGCGTATGTGTGGCCCTGGCCAGACTCACCCCTCGATAAGTATGGAGCCATCCGCATTGCAAGTGAGCCGCTGACAGGGCGGAATGCCGTTGTTGACGCCCTCCGGCAGCAAGTCGCCACGATAAATGCATTTGCCGGGATTAGCTAAACAGAGGAAGAGAGAGGGAGAGAGAGAGCGAGTGAGTGAGTGAGTGAGAGAGCTCAGGTAGAGCAAGGCTCGTTCGCACCTTCGTCGATGGGTATGATAGCGCGGTAGCCCTCTGTTTCCGTAGCCAGCTGCAGGAGCAGCATGAGCCACAGGCTTGTGAAGATCAGGCCGCTGCCGCGGCTTCGATTGCTGGAGCTGCTGCCCCTCGGCTTGGTGGAACGTTGCTCAGACATTGCGACGCGTTTGTCGTTCGAAATGGCACTGGCCGCAGCCGCTGGCTGACGCGCTTGTTCCACTTGGGCAGCGGCTATCGAAATTTGTCATCGCCAATCGACATCGGCATCAGAATTTCTATCTCTATTGTTGTTGTTCTTGTTGCCGCTGCTGCGAGTGACTTGGCTTTTGGCTTAGATTCATCAATTGGTTTGTTTTCGCCGCACCCTAACCACGGGGGGCGCCTCCGGCCGCTGATGCAGCGCGACACGCTCAGCTCAGCCCACTCAGCGGGAGGCATTCAGCCGTGAATTGAGTCGGAAGCGTAAACATTTCCAGGCAAATAGGTCCACAAAAATTCTTTTGTCTGCCCATAAAGCAAGCGCTGCACAAGTGGCATTCAATCAGTCAGCCAATCAGCATTAGCCATCAATCATTTCTATATACTATACTCTATATATATACTGATTCTATATATATACTGATTGACTCAATTACTCAGTCAATCATTCTTTCATATATAGTCATTAGACACAGCTGTAGCTCAGTAAGCGGATGTAGTTGCTTGTTCATCTAATCAATCATTCCGTCAATCAAGCCTATAGCAAATCAATCAATCAGATGGTACGCTTTAGGTATATAGCTTGGCAATTCAATTCAATTCGATTCATCAGCATCAGCTAAACAATTTCCAGTCCATCAATCAATCAATTAGCTCAGTACGTAACAGTCAATCAACCCGTCAATCATTTGACTAGATTCAATCAGCTAGTCTGGTATATATTCAATATGCTTCGCTTTAAAGCTACAGCTAAGCATCAATCAATCAATCAAGTAGTCATTCAGTTAGGGCAAGTTATAAAAATCTATATTAATCAGACTCTTGCTTCTCCTTCAGCTGTGTGATTGATTGATTGATGATACATGCGCTTCACTTATTCCATAGGGTATTCGCTGTGCTGCTTCCAGCTGGCTGTGCATTTGTTTGTTTTTGCTTTTTTGTGTTGATTATTATGTATTACTATTTAATTGAAGACGCTGCCGACAGCAACGCCCGCCGCGCCCGCCCACGCCCCGTGCCCCAGCGCGCATGCTTTGCGGGTCAGCGAGTTTATCACGCAGAAGCTGTCACTGTCTCTACACACTCTCCCTCTTCCTCTCTCTCTCTCACTCTCTCTCTCTCTCTCTCTGTCTTTCGTTGTCTCATCATTTAGAATTCGAGCTGTTGCTTTGCCACTGGGAATTTGTTATGTTTGTTTGGTAGTGTTCTTTATTTATTTTTTTTTATTTTTATTTTTATTTTTTAGAATTAATCTGAGTATTTGTGTCGACATCCAATTGAAAGAGCTTCCGCTGCGATCGAGCTTTGGCATCGGGTCTTTAACTATATATATATAAGTGTATAAGTTAAGTACTTAGCTGAGCTTAAAGTTGGGCACATTTAATGGAGCTTGAGCAGAGCAGCTTTTGAAAGCTCTCGACGGGTCTGCTCGACTAAACGATGCCGCTGAGCCGGCGATTGCAAAATGCATTTGGAGCGATATGAAAATGGACCAAGGTCCCAGAGTTTGGGTGGAATGGGAAAGGTATATACGATTCAGTTCTTATCGATTCCAAGTGCTTTAGCTCAACATTAACAACATCAGCACACAATCAAGGTGAAATGATGGAAGACATTACTCAAAGTAGAAGTACATGGAAGTCTTAGTAGTCTAACGATAAGTGTATCGATATTTATACAGAACTTAATCAATGACTTACCAAGATATCTATATCTATTGCTGGTTGACTGTCAAATACAGGCAGACTTCAAAAATATAAGGAACGTAATATATGAAATCTATGTTCTATCGATAAATATCGATACCACCTACGCTGAGTGCTGCTGACACTTAAAAGGCTTTGAATCTTAGCTAATAAATAATATTATACCTATATTGATATGCATAAATCAGCTATCGATAACACTTATCGATATATTTGGCTACTGCATGGCTCTCTCATACGCACACTCGTCGCTGCTCTAAAGTTGCTCAAGTTTTTCCTATTGTAAATTAATGAAATGCATTCGCTCGGGTTAAGCCAACTGCCAGGCAGACCCGCACATCCGACACACGCACGGACAAGTGCTGCGGCAAGTTGTGCAATTGAATAGACATGTCAAGGAGGCAGAGAGAGAGAGAGGGAGTGTGGGTGTGTAGAAAGTTGAGCTGCGAAGAAAATTGAAGCAAATGTTTATCCTGCTGGCTATTAAATTTTTAATCAAGTTAAAGTGTTGCCAAACACTTCATTCAGCCCGTCAGACACACACACACACACGCACACACAGGGGTGCTCCTGTGGGTGTGTGTGCGTGTGTGTAAGACATGCATCGCCTGTGTTTGGGCTGCGTGTTAGTTATGCATTCATTCATTCATTCATTCATTCATACAGTTAGACACTCATTCAGCGACCTTCATTTCGTTTCATTGCGTTTTCTTGCAACTTGGCCGTTGCATATGCCACGCCCCCCTATGTTGTACTTCGCCCCTTCTGCCACTGCCTTTGCCACATCTTTTTACGACTTCATGAATTCACTTGTTCACTCCGGCTCCTGCTCTGGCTTTGGCTCTAGCTCTGGCTCTGGCTCTGGCTTCTGCTTCCACAATTGTGGTAAATTAAATGCAAATAAATTGTCAACTGCAGTTAAATAAATTTTTAATTTATTACACAGTGGATGCCAGTGTCTCTGGCTGTGACTGTCATTGTGACTCTCCCAGTGACTGCGACTGTGACTATGACTGTGCGCCAAAGTTTTGATGGGCTCGCCTTGAGGTGTAACTGCACATGCGGCAGATGGACCGTTATTCGCTCATAAAGTCGGGATGTTGATGCTGAATGCAGCTTGACGTTGAGTAGCAGTTGCTTAGTTGAGCGATAACATATGCTATCGATAAGTTTCTATAGCTGCTATGCATATAGAACTCTTTGTGTGCATATCGATTAATTGTTATCAATTAGATATGCACTATATAGAGCTACGCCTTATTGATATTTGTTATCGATAATATGTGATATCGATTAAACGTTATGTTATACACTCATTGATACCCTTTGCCATCAATAAACTACCATCAAGCATGGAATGCCGGTGATAAACTTTTATCGATAAATATAGGTCTGCTAAATGTATCGAAATAGTATGGTATATCGAATGATTTCCTGTGATATTGTTCCGAAATAAGTGGTTATCATAATATCCATTAAGGTAAACGATAAACAAAGCATTAAAACTTACTATTGATATCAATTTAACTTATCGATATACGACCAAGCCTCAATTTAGTGAGATCTAAATTAAGAAACACAGATTCCCGAGTGCGTTGACTGCGAGCCTCAGTTCGTAGCCGCTTGGCTCAGCCAGAGAGCAAAAAGAGGAAGAGAGAGAGAGAGAGAGAGGGAGCGAGATAGTGTGGGAGAGCGACGATGCTAAGCTAATTCACAGTTGATTATCTAAATTAGCAAAATGAGTGACAGGCAAACGAGAAACGCAAAGCGCGCAGCCGAAAGACGAAAATACACTCGCTCACTCAAATTGAATAGGTTGATGAATGAGGACCGAAAACAAAATATATATGCATATTGTATAGCAACAGCTCGAGAGTCGGGTATGCATGACACTACCTGTCGAGCAGGAGGGTGCAAATGGTAGAGTACGTATATAGATATAATGAGCGGAAGCTGTACTCCAGTTGGGATTGTACCAAGTCTTTGGCGAGCTTCGCTATACCCTCATCTGACTCTGACTGAAATGGAAATCGAAATCAATCTACCCCATGTGCGGGCCACAGGTTTGCGGGGTATTTATAATGCTCACACAAAAACAGAGTATATAGAGAGGTAAAAAAAAGAGAAACACATGGAAAAGAATCAAATGAAAATAGAGACGGGCAAAGCCGCACAACCGTGGAGCAGCTCAGCAGTTGGGGAGCCAAAACAAATTCACTTTTTCAGACAATGTATTCAGTGCAGGGGCGACATTCGCAGCAGCAACGAAAGCGACAGCCATAGCACACACACACACACATATATACACACATATATATATATATATATAGTCGCACACACGCATACCTGCACACACACACACACACACGCACACAGACATAGACAAAGCGCCACCTGAAGAAAGTGCAGCAAGGCTTTGTCATCGGCTTCGAGCAAGAAACGAGAAACGAGAAGCGAGAAGCGAGAAACGTCAACGGCTCCGCCCAGAGCAAATCAAATCGCATCGCATCGAATCGAGCCGCGCGGCACGCCCCCAATCGAAAGGGAAATATGGGCAGAGTGCTGAGCTACGTCTTCATAGTCAGCTCGCTGATATTGTGGTACCTGCTGCTCTTTGGCAGCTCGAGCGCGGGCGTCGAGGCCACCAACGGCCACGGAATGCAGCTGGAGGGACGCGACTTTCATCACCATGGCGGCAGCCATCACATAAGACGTAAGTCCCAGCCAGCTGGCAGCGCACCTGCACTACTTGACTCCACTCCACTCCACTCCACTGTACTCCACTCTACTCCTATGCAGGCAACATCAATCACTGCTGGCGCCGCTACGATGGCTACAACCTACAGAACACCATTGTGAACAAGAAGGAGCAGCTGAAGAAACCATATGGCATTCTGTGCAACTTCAAGTGCACCTGGTTCTTTACAATCAGGTAAGCAATCGATACTCTGACCATCTCCCCCAGCACCATTGTCCGTCATTGACCACCTAATCCCCTCTCCATTCCCCATGCCGCTAAATATTTGAGATGAAAACGTGACAAGTGAAACGCTTTATATGGAAGCAGTGTTATATACGATGGTTATCGATATCGGCATATCGATTATACAACAAGTATCGATAGCGATCGGTATATATTTTTTTTTGTGAAGAATTATTCTTAGCTTATGCTCAAAGGACTTTTCACTTACAGCCAACAAGAGGCTTATCGATTGTTATCGATGGACATTTACATTTGATACACATTGCTATATACATATCATTCTTTCTATGCTAAGGCCTTAACACTTTCTATACAATCGATACAAATATTGATCGATTTTTCTGTAAAAGTCCGTCCAAAATTCAAGATGAGTCCCATTTGTAATTTGGATATATATTTAGAGGCGTATACTCATTCGATACTCATTCGAAGGCCACTCGAGACTAGTCCAATTTAAATGATATTTCAATGTCATTTCCAGCATTTTAAGTAGCTCACGCGTGTCACGACCTGCTGTCCTCGCTCGAGTGCCATAACTAGCTTAGCTCCTATACAATTGCTACTTTTTTGCTTTGCAAAGCGAAATTCAATTTCTATTTTATAATATTGCTTGATACCCCTTTTACTCACTCTCTCTTCCTTTTCTCTCTCTCTTTCTCTCTCTCTCTCTCTGCCTCTGCCTCTTTCTCGCTCTCGTTGCAGTTATCCCACTTGCGAATTCATCTACGACTACAAGTTATCCTGCGTTTTGTTCACTTCACTGCCCGACTGCACGAACGTCAAGTGCACGCTCTTAAACTATTTCAGCTAGACAAAAGGCGAATACCGTGTGCCGACCGGGTGTATGCGCACTCACAGGCAGCTCTCTCTCTCTATATATATAGCTAATTATTGTATTTCTAGTTCAAAGTGCTCCTTAATCTTAACTTTTTTTTTCTTTTTTTTTTTTTAAGTTAATGTCTATGCTTAAAATAAATTTTAGTTAATTTTATATGAATTACGTACAGAGTGGAAAAAAATACGTTCATATTTAAAAAACTTGCTATTCGTGTTTTATTTTTAATCCAAGGTGTGAAGTTTGGAAAAATCTACAGGAATAGAGTGTAGTGCTATCCCACAAGTTGGGTATATTTTATTGTAGATATATATTTGACAGTTCGAGGGAGAATGTAACGAAGTCCAGATGGATTAGCTCGGTTTCTGAGTGCTGATATGCTAGATATCTCAGTTTTCTAGAGATTTCTCGACATCTAGATAACGCAGAGTAGTTTCAGTAGTTGGAAGATGAAATGGGGTATCCATAAACATCCTCAGCATCTGAGTCTGTATACACTATATACTCATCACAGTGTAACAATATATGCATCAAAAGAATATGTTTTGGAATACAAATATATATATGTACGTCAATCATAAATGACAGCTATAATTATATTAGATCTCCTTAATAGATTTGTGAGAATCCATCCATGTCCCAGCGCGCCATCAGCAGGGGCATTGCATCTATTCAATTTTCGAATAGAGTGTGAGTGTGTTGCACGTTTACAGCGTGTCTCGGTTAAAGCCGATGTTTGAGTGTGTGAATTGATTCGGAGCGATTCGATTGTTGATTCAGTTCGGGACCTGTGAATACTGCGAATGCAGCCTGAATGGTGGCAGCAACAGCCAACAGGAACAACAACGAGAACAAGAACAATCCTTGATAACTACAGCGACGTGTCTAGCATCGCAATATAGCTAGCGGATTGCGTATACGCCACGTGTGCTGCGTGCACTCATTCACTCCAACACACACACACACACACGCAGAGGCACGCACAGCACACACACATTCACTTCGCAGCTGAGTGGCCCATTAAAGTTGCACTCTGAGCTCTTTTCTAGTTTTTCTTCCATTTCTTGTTAGCTCTCAAGTCGATTTTGCACTTCATCTGTTGGCAAAAGACGTGGCCAAAAGGCCATGGCAGCTATCAATGCTGCTACACAAGTGCCACGCCCCATTTGCCGAGCGAGTCAAGGCTGGCCGAAAAAGCATTCGCAATTTTTTGCGCCACGAAAAGTGTGCACTAAAGTTGGGTCTAAGGCATATGGCATATAACAATATATCTCGATTGGGATTTGATTCAAGGTCGATCGAAATCGATAAATATCGATTGGGTTCTGTCATCAAAAGTTGAAAACTTTAAGAGCTAGCATCGGGGTTGGGCATATATCACATAGAAATAGATCTAGCTGAGAAATTGACTCAAGTTCGATAAATATCGATTGGGCTTTCTGGAAATAACTCGAAAACTTTAAGAGCTTGCAACTTCCCACTTGGCCTACAACACATGCAATGCCCAATGAAGACTAGAAGTATTTCCTTTCCTTGAATACCTCTTCCATTGCATTAGAGTATCAGCCAGTCACATTCTTGGCACCGGCTCAGCTTCAGCGTTTTTTGAGCTTTTTTTCTGAGCAGTAAACAAATTTGAAACACTTTGTTAGACGCGTCAGCTATAGCAGCCATACCTATATATATATATATACATATATATATATATATTTATATATATATATATTTAGAGGCAGGTGGTTAGGGCGTCCCCCGTTCCTTCCCCGTTCCTTCCCCGTTCGTCCAGCTCTGCCGCTTACCTGTGCAAACAGCCGCAAATAAATCGTTCGACATTTATAAGCCAGTCAAAGTTATGCTGAAATTTGTGTATTACGTGGCAAAGGGCTGGGCTGAGTGACAGTAGTTGGACGCGTGGGAGGGGCTGGACAGGTGCTCTCTCTGTGTGTGTGTGTGTGCGTGCCTTTGACGCCGTCCTCAAAGTCAGGCTAAAAATAAGATAAATTGTGTGGCTGTAGTCAATGGAGCTGTTAACTTACGCACCTGCGACTCCCATAGAGCTGGCTCAAAGTGGAAGTGGAAGTGGACGAGGATACGGATGTGAAGGTGGACTGGGAAGTGCAAGGGTTGCGATTGATTCGCACAGTCAAAAAAAGAGACGCTCTGCCACCCGCTCAGCTGCTGGGCATCCACATTGCCCTGTAAACAGTTTCCATTTCCACTTTCGCTTTGTTGTTTCGCATTGCGTAGTTCGCAGTTTTCATTTTGTTTTATTTTGTTTTGCTTTGTTTTTGGGGTCGCACTTTAATGGAATCAAACGAAATGACATTGATCGCTGAAGGCCATCCAACCGCACACACACACACACACACACACATATGTACACTCTGCAGCGTGCTTCAAGCGAAGATCAACAGCAATGCGAACGCACTTCCAAATGTATTTGTTTCCATATACCCCAATTCGACACCCTAGACGCATTATAAGTGTGTCAACGGGGTATACAAGACTGGGGGTTATGGAATGTGTGAGAAGCAGATGACAGCGATTTCTAGGCATATATGGGCTGTCCATATTGGGCAGCCCAGCCCTGTGTGTGGGTTCTATGACAATAATATCCCTATTTGTGTATCTATCTTTCGACTTTAAGCAATCCACTCTCGTCCTGCTGATCAATAAGCATCAACATATATAGTAAAGAAAGCCATAGTCTAGAGGGTATCTGAAGTCAGGCCTCGCACTCTTACTTGTTGTATCTGCATCTATCTATGCTGTAGCCGTATCTGTATCTGGGATTTGGGTCGTGGTCGTTGTGCGTTGATTGGGCTCGTTAGATTGTTTAGATGGATGCGTTTATTGTTGGGCGGGCGCGCGCGTTCGCATTGCCGGACTTCACTTTCAATGCTGATTGGCAAATTACAGCAATTTTTGAATGAAATTAGATTATTTCGAAATAGTTATAAACAAATTAATTGCGCATTACGCATCGCGGAGCAGCACGCATCGACTGTCGTCCCCCCAACTGCAAAATGTGCAGCAAAAGTGCGTGCAAAGTATGTGAGCGATGCATGGGCCCCAGTGATTTGCTCTTTGTTTTTCGGCTCAGGCGAAAGAACTTTGCAGTAAATAAATTCCAAAATGAGCATTCACTTTGTAGCTCCATTCGATGAATTCCACAAGGGCAGCAGAATAAGTCAAATTCTAATCGAGAGACTTGCAAATGCCTCAAGTCTAGCTGAGTCTGGTGCCGGTGCGAGGGAGCGGTGCGAGTGTGTTGGGAATTTGAAGTGAAATTCACATTGTGATTGACAAAGCGCAAAATGCTTTTTATAAATAGCACAATAAAAGTATCCACAAATTATGAGAAACAGCTCAGGCAGCAATTCGCCGCTTAAGTTGACAGCCAACCCGACAGAAAGCGAGATAGTCGGACAGCTGGATGCCTGACTGATTGACGCAGCTACAGAAAAGGTGTCAACAGCTCCATCAGATGCGAGCAGCAATTGGGATGGAGACACAAATACAGATACTTTGATAGAGACGTCGAGATATACAGATACAGATACAGATACAGATACAGATACAGATACAGATACAGATACA